CACAGGGCTCTTACGAGGGCTGTGAGCTCTGCCTTCTGGGCAGACGTACCTGGAGGGAGGGCTTCTGCTTCTAAGGTTCCTGAGGAGTTACTACTGTGTACCCCGCCTTCTGGAGTCCCCAGTCCACGAAGCTGCTCCCGATCATAAACATATCCATATCTGCATTTTCTAAAGGCTGATGAGTTAGGTTAGGACAGCTAGAACAGACTTCTTCAGTCATTTGTATGGTATGAGATGCCTTACGGCATTCCACAGTGCACTTAATGGCTCATTGTCATGTCCTTCAAGAGCCTCGTACAGGGGTTTGGCCATGAGTCCAAAGTTAGGAGTCCAAATATTACAAAACCCAGCCGTTCCTAAGGATCCTAGCAATCGCCTTCTGGTCGTGGGTACAGCTATCCTAGCTAACGCTTCCCTTCGATCCAGCAATAAGGGATCTTTTCCTTTTGATAACTCAAATCCTAGGTATTTTACAGTCAGTTGAGAAATTTGCGCTTTTCCCCTGGAGACTTTGTCCCCAGTCTGCCAGAAAGTTTAAAGTGAGGGTTGCATTTTGGTCTGAAGTTTCCTTAGTTTTACTAGAAGCAAAGTATAAGGATTTGGCATCACGGGATGTATATCCCCTACAGTTTGGTTAATGGCTTTCAAATTCTGTACAAAACAATAATCTCTGGCCCCGGGTTTTTGTACCAGCAGGATTGGAGAGTTATATGGGGATTGACAAGGTCCGATTAATTGGCATTTAAGAAAGGTGGTTATCAGAGGGTTTACACCTTTCTTTGAATGCCTGTTTAAAGTGTATTGCTTTAAATTGGGAGCCTTGGTGCCTGGATGGAGTTTTACTACTATTGAGTCAGGCATCTTGACTCTCCCTGGCCTTCCTGCGCCCAAACATCCGCTCTTACCTTTTGTGGAATTTCCTCAAGGACGGGTCTCCCAGTTGTAATAGTGCAGCTCAGAGGGCGCAGGTTTGATCTGGGAGTACTTTAATGTCTGGTGAGAAAATAATTTAATTTTGTTAGTAGATCTTGCCCCAACAAGGGAATGGGGGCATCAGGCATGTACAGAAAGCTGGGCTTTAAATATGGTTTTTTTCCGGTTACATAGATCAGAGGTAGAAAAGGGGGGAGTGCACAGATACCAACCCCCTGGGTTGACCTTGGTCATCTAGATCGGCAGGAACTTGTCTTAAGGGATATTGCCCTGCCTGAGGCAGAGGACCACGTGGACTCAATTGAATATGCTGGCATGTACGGGGAGGGGAGTCGATCCCTTCTGACTCTCTGGTAAGGAGGGTATGAGGGTAGGGCTGGTTGTGGCTGTAGGAGGATTGCTGGTAGAAGTCTTGGCACGCCACGCAGGACTTCCCCCTTCGTATGGCGGGAGGGCCACAGGGCGCCCAAGGCGAAGCCAAATGGAGTAAGTCGAGATCATCATTAGGCTCTGACTGCAGGCAAGACAGGCTTTTCCTGAGGGTCTTGCCTCTGAACCATGATTTTACATCTATTCTGCAAATTCTTATTGTGATATAAAGACCTAATTTGGTTACACTGCTGAAAAAATTGCAAAATAAGTTAGAAAAAACAGTCAAGTGACTTGTACCTGCTACCTCTTGATCTGAGGAAAGTTGATATTCACAGTGCAAGGCAGAGCTGATGGTAGGACAGCCAAGATTTCTCCATGTGGAAGTCCATCCTCTGGAGGAAAAAAAAGCCCCTTCGTGAAGCAGGAGCTCTGTTGTTGGCTGACCGGGCTGCCTCCATCGTTGTGCTCCAAGCACTTTACTTCTTGGCCAGCAAAAACACGGAAGAGCCTGGAACAACTGCCGTTAGCAAATGCCTGCTGCCTCTTCCCAGCCTCCATGGATTGGGCCCGACGTCAGTCTTATCAGAGACTCGACGTCCGTGGGATGCAATGCTGGCTGCACCTGGAAAACCCTTGAGTTCATGGGAGATGAAGGAAAGCACCAGGGTTTGCCAATCTGGGGCTCAGGGCATACTTTGTTCCTTTGTAGGAAGCACCTGGGCACACTCAGGGCTTGCCCCCTCAATGATTCCACCTTAGTGCTGATTCTGAGGGGTTAGCTGGCCCCCCTGAGAATGGACGTTTGGAGAGAGTGTGCAAACAAGCAACTCATAAGTCAACAGTTAGCCAGTACCCCAGGTTTCAAACCCAAGAGCTGAGAACAGTCTACAGATTGCAAACCTCTAGAAAATGGCCTTCCCTCACTCCCGCCGACCCCACCCCACCCAGAACAGCAGACAGCCTCAAGAGGTGTGAGGGAGAAAGCAAGAACCGTACAATTTGGGAACCAATTTCTTCTCCTAGTTGGTTTCTGGAAAGAAGCAAGCAAATGAAGTAGTGACTATTCACAACTTGGCTGTATGAATTCCCCCGAGAATCCAATGAGGAGTCAAAGATGGCCAGCATGGATGTGAGGGTTCACTTAGGGAACACTGGAAACTTTCCATTAGAGGTGATTGCCAAGAACTGTGGCTTGAAAGTCACGCATGCTACCAGCTGCTGAGGAAGCTGCCCGGCAGCTCCAAGACTGTAGTCAATTTGGCCAGAGGCTCCTAATAATTCTCCCCTGTGTGCTAAGGGCAGGCTTGCCTATTGCAGAGGGGCCTGTGAAAGTCCAGACTGTCTCCCTTGCCAGTTCAGAAAACTTACCCGATGAGGAGGAGGGTGAGAGAGGTGACTGGACCACCTTGAAGAAAGTGAAGTGAGGAGGCTGTCTTAGACTCAGTTGGAGCTGAATTTGAGAGAGGAATTCAGGAAGATACAGGCTGAAATACCCAAGCCCTCACTTCCTTTCTGAGCATGTTGGTGTTTAATCTTCCTGGTAGACGACCAAAACATTTTACCTCCCCAGCAGAGATCACAGACGAGCTAATCTAGACGTCTGGGCTATTTCTAGGTGGAATGCATTCAGCCCAAGGCCTCCATGTATGTAGTCCATGGCCTTAAGCACCACCACCAATGTTTGTTCCTCCAAGCAAACTTTCCTTTTACATAGAGAGAGACTTAAAAGCAGTTCAATGCTAACTCCCTGTTAGTTTGGCTCATGCAAAATAGGGTTAAAATTCTCAGTAAGGGAAAACCAAAATGTGTCCAATTATATAGAATTCCTTTAACCCAAGAACAGGGTATGTTCCTCTGGGATGGAGGATTTTCCTGCTTTACACGCCCTCATTTCTCCTTTACCCTCTCACCCCAACAAGGTAATCAGGGCTGGTTCCATTAAGAATACACCCCTGTATCAATACCTTCGGGCAATCATATTAGGGACAAGTGAGAAAAAAAACCCCACACCTCCATAAGGCAAGGTTTCTAGCCAGGGAGCAATGTCTTTGGTCTCCTGAGTCAGAGGGCCCTCATTCATATCTGGTTTAATAAAGTTCTGGTACAGTCATACAAGAGCCAACCGCTATCAGCCAATCCTAACAAATAAAACAGTCAGACACAGACAAACATAGATAAACAATGAAACCAAAGGCCTGGGACTCTAACCCCATCCTTTGAGTACCTCAGTGGCTAGAACCTTTTATATTGTCTCCCTTAATATGGGACTCTAACCCATGATCTTGGCCTTGGGACTCTAACCCAAGGTTTGGGAATCTAACCCAACAAAAATCTCCCCAGGTTGGAGCTCTAAATTATAATCCCAACAAGGTTATTAGACAGGCACAGGTGCATTTTAATGAGCTTACTCGCCCAAAAGACCTCTGATCCAGGAGTTGCTTCTTTTCTCAAAAGTGAAAGTAGCACCAAGGAAGCTGGAGTGCCGGGCTGGGGAAGCAGGAACCTGATAGGTGACCCTCTAGACAGATTCGGTCTAGGTAGCCACTCTGGATTGGTGGCAAGGCACACACTCCACTAAGGGCCACAGTGCCTCTGGCAGGCACTCAGAAGACGTATGTCCCTTTGTGGTCGCCAAAATTGTTCCAGGCAAGGGCTCGCTGCCCGATGCGCATAGAAGCCAATACTACGGCACCGGCTTTTGAGAAAAGAAAGAGCTTTATTGAGAGGTTGACAGGCAAGGAGACAGATTTGAGAGGCTTGCCTCCTGTCGTCTTGCCGCTCAACCTCTCAGTAAAGCTCTTTCTTTTCTCAAAAGCCGGTGCCATAGTACTGGCATCTATGCGCACTGGGCAGTGAGGCCTTGCCCAGTAACACGATCATCAGTCTATTCTATGTGTGCATATCCTCGGGCATGTTTTATTCAAATAACATTCCTACAGGTTTCTTTTTATAAATTTATTTATTTATGGCTGCACTGGTTGCTTCTTAGGGGCTTTCTCTAGTTGTGGTGAGCGGGGGCTACTCTTCGTTGCAATATGCAGCCTTCTCATTGCAGTGGCTTCTCTTGTTGCGGAGCATGGGCTCTAGGCACGCGGGCTTCAGTGGTCGTGGCACATGGGCTCAGTAGTTGTGGCTCGCAGGCTCTAGAGTGCGGGCTCAGTAGTTGTGGTGCACGGGCTTAGTTGCTCCGCAGCATGTGGGATCTGCCCGGACCAGGGCTTGAACCCATGTCCCCTGCATTGGCAGGCGGATTCTTAACCACTGTGTAATGAGGGACGCCGTCCTACAGGTTTCTTGCCTCTTGTCTCATATCTTATTGAAGCCCATTTTTTTTTTTTTTTTTTTTGCGGTAGGTGGGCCTCTCACTGTTGTGGCCTCTCCCATTGTGGAGCACAGGCTCCGGACGCGCAGGCTCAGCGGCCATGGCTCACGGGGCCCAGCCGCTCCGCGGCATGTGGGATCTTCCCAGACCGGGGCACGAACCCGTGTCCCCTGCATCGGCAGGCGGATGCTCAACCACTGCGCCACCAGGGAAGCCCGAAGCCCATATTTTTATGGCCATATTTACAATAATTGTTAAACAAATTATTATTCAAATACATGACCAAGAAAATGACTTTTGTAAAATGTTTTTTAAAAAATGAACATGATTTCACACAGGTATATCTAATCATATCTTTATTTCTTTTGAGTAGTGAAATAGCAAAAACAGAATTCCTCCTTAAAGAGTACATGCACTATGGATTTTTTCTGCTGAAACTGTCTCCAAAACAATGGCAAATCCAGCAAGCAACGAAAAGGGTGTCAAAGAATAAAGAAAATGTGAATGTCAAGCTTCCAAGTATAATGACAAGTAAGTCCCATATTCTTAAATTCAATTAAGTAAATATCCCTAATTCTAAAATATTCTGCCTCAATGTTTGTTTTTTATTAAATAGTCAGAATTTTTATTTTAAGCAGAACCTGAACAATCCCACTATCCCACTATCTCTGATATTATAAATTATTAATTTGGAAATTCAGGTTAATTTCAGATATGAAGTAATAAAAATATATACATGGAGGGCTTCCCTGGTGGCGCAGTGGTTGAGAGTCCACCTGCTGATGCAGGGGACATGGGTTCGTGCCCAGGTCCGGGAAGATCCCACATGCCGCGGAGCGGCTGGGCCCGTGAGCCATGGCCGCTGAACCTGCGCGTCCAGAGCCTGTGCTCCGCAACGGGAGAGGCCACAACAGTGAGAGGCCCGTGTACCGCAAAAAAAAAAAAAAAAAAAGTATTTGTTTATCTTTCTAGATGAACCTCAGAATCATTATGCAAAGTTCTACCTAACCCAACACCCAACTCCCTGACCAATTTTTTGTAACATTTTTATTATAATTCCATAAAACAATTAATTTCAGAAAAATTGGCAGCTTTACAAAATCAACCTTCCTATCTAAAAACATGACACATTTCTCATTTGTCAAATCTCCTGGTCACACAATTAAGGTTAGAGGATCTGGAGTAGAGTGTAGGGGAGGGGGGTGGAGGAAGTAGGTAGTGGGGTCAATGTCTTCTTCTCTTTAAAATCTTGAATATAGAAGTCACTCAGTTTAAATAACATCCCTTAACAAGACGTTTTAGTAATATGTGTTCCAGTATCAGTTTAAAAGCTTAAGATGGTAATTTATGGCGGTGGTAGAATCCACTGGTTCTTCATCCATTTTCTTTCCTTTCCCCACTCACCATGTATATATTGGAGGCATACAACGTATCGGGTTCTTTTTAAGACTCTGAGTACACAAAGACCAATAGGACATAGTTCTGCACCCTGGACCTATACTATACAATACAATACAATAGGGCAAACGATACAGCAGTGATAGTGAGGGGTCTGGGAGCAAAAGCAAAAAATGTGATCTATGCCTGAGGCATTTAGAACAGTCTTTTTATATATATATATAAATTTATTTATTTATTTTTGGCTGTGTTGGGTCTTCATTGCTGCACGCGGGCTTTCTCTAGTTGCAGTGAGCGGGGGCTTCTCTTGTTGTGGAGCTCGGGCTCTAGGCATGCGGCCTTCAGTAGTTGTGGCGTGCGGGCTCAGTAGTTGTGGTGCGTGGGCTCAGTAGTTGTGGCGCATGGGCTTAGTTGCTCCATGGCGTGTGGCATCTTCCCAGACCAGGGATCGAAACTTTGTCCCCTGCATTGGCAGGCGGATTCTTAACCACTGTGCCACCAGGGAAGTCCCAGAAGAGTCTTTAAGAGGAGGTGATGTTTGAGCTGGATTTTGAAGAATAAGTAGGAACTTCCCAGGTAGAGGGTGGGAGAGTGGGACCTGCTGTGGTTTCAAGACAGAATAGCAGAAAGGGTGACTGGAAGTCACAAGAGCACAGGCATGAGGAAGTGTGGCCTGGCTGTGGGGGGGACCTGGGGGTCAGTGGATGGAGAGACCCAAGACCAGTTTTGCCCACTTCTCAGTTTCAGACCAGGGTCAGGCCCAGACACTGGTGTCAGGGGAATGAGTGTATGGGCGACTTGTATGGGCCTATGGTAGGTCTCTCCACAAGATGTAATAATTGAAGTCCATCATTTTTATTTTATATATTGATCTTTTAAAATCTCTGATTAGAAATATGTATGATTAGGTAAAAATAGAACCATGGTTTATATTTCACCATCTATGTCCCTGATTTGTGACCTTTAATAGTTGTGCCACGTTTTTGACAAAATGCACCCCCCCACCCCAAACAGTGCCTTTGATTTTATGCTTGGAACCAAAAGTAGTAGAATAAAAGAGCTCTATTTCCTATACGATTATTATTCTAACAATAATTTTTAAAAAGTAATGGGCATATCGGTGCAGAAAAAATGAATATCTTGTACCAAATAACAAGGACTCACTTCTAATTACATTATTTTTTTCACTTCCACCGTCACCAATGACATGGACTTCGCCTGGACATTTTAAACAGCAAAACCGCGCAAGACGACCACTCCCACCCAGGAGCAAAAGAAATCATCCTTATCAAAGTACAGTACATATTGATTAACTCTCTTGAAAACTGTGAATTTTTTTTTTAAGCAAATATTTCTTTTAGCCTTTCTTTAACATACGTACCATGTACCCACACCCACCGTTAACAGATGCCGGAGGTAGTGGTTCTATGTGCTCCTGAGGTGACCAAGCTCTCATAGGCCTCCCTGCATCCTTTGATGAGGGCCTACAACTGCTATCTGCAGAAACTGCCTGCGCCCTGCATCTTGGGTCTTTGCCTCTCAGAATTCACTGCCCAGTTGTTTGAATCCACTGCTGACTTGTGTGTTTGCAATTTTACCATGTCATTCAAAATTGCTGCAATGAGACTATAAAGCATTTTTTGTTTCTTCCCTTATTTGATTATTGACTCATTTATACTCATTATTTCATAAATTGGTAGTTCTCAACCCTAGCTACCCCAGGGGAGCTTTTAAGAAAATATATTGATGTTTAGGATGGGTACACCAGCCCCAAAGGAAGGATCTGGGCCAGCACTGTATTATCCATGACAAAAGCCAACACAGATACTGTGCTCTGAATTCCAGGGGCCCTGGGGTGACTGCACTTCTGTGGCATTTAGGAGTCACTGTTTTGTTGTGTTTTTAATTAAATTTTCATTTTGAGATAATTGTAGATTCACACGCAGTTGTAAGAAAAAAATACAGAGAGGCCCCACTACAGTTCACCCAGTTTCCCCCAATAGTAACATCTTACAAAATTGTAATATGATATCACAACCAGGATATTGACATCAACAGAGTCAAGACACAATCAAATACAGAATATCATAAGGATTCTTCATGTTGATGCACACAGTAATACTCAAACGTCACATTCATTCTCTCAGAAAGCTCACCACTGTCCTAGTTTCTTTCATTTACTCAGCACATATTTATTGAGTGCCCTGCAGGGCCAGCAATAAATAAAAGACAGTCTCTGCCCTCCAGGGGCTTACCATCTAGTGAGGGAGACAGACGAGGAATTTGTCAGTTACACTATAATGTGATAAGGCCATTGGAAGGATAAGCTCAGGGTGCCACAGGCATGCAAAGGAAGGACTCTCAGCCCAGATGAGAGGGGAGAGACTCAGAAAGCAAGGGCGGGATCAGTGAACACCCTCCAGATCAGGTGGCATCTAAGCTGCTCCTGGTGAGGAGGAGGGGTCAGTGAGGACACTCTGGAAGAGGGAGGGGCCTTCTGGGACAGGGGTGACGGCGTTTGGCTCTGTTCAGAATGGCTGGGCCGCAGGGTGCAAGTGGGCGAGGCTCGAGGGGTAAATAGGTATTGCATCATGAACAGGGAAGCAGTGGTGCCATCCAAAGGAGTCTATGTTTTGTTCCAAGTGCCCTGGGAAGCCACTGAGGGTTTTAGCAAGTGTGTGACAGAGACCCAATCAGATCTGCATTTTAGAAAATTGGATATGGTGGTATTTTAAAGAATAAAATGGACAGGGATGAAACTAGAAATAAAATGGACAGGGATGAAACTCCTAAATGGACAGGCCAGTTAGGAGCCTGTTGTCACAGTTCATCAGGTGAGAGATAATGGACTGCCTCAACCAGACAGTGGCAGCGGGAACGAAGAAGGAAAGGCTGTGGGACACATCAGGGAAGTGGTATTGACAGGCGTCCCCTACACTTTGGGGGAAGTGTGAGGAAAAGAGAGTGGCCACAGACAACTCCCAAATTTCTAGTGTGGCAACCGGGTGTATGATGTTGTCATTCAATGATATTGGGAACACAGTAAGGGGAGCAAGCCTGGCAGGAGGATAAAGAGTGTGATTTTGGATGTGTCTGAGCTCCCCAGGGGACACCCAAGTGGATACTGGTGTCCAGTTAGAGGCTGGCCATTGAAGTCCAGAGCTCAAGAGAAAGAGAGAGAGATGTGAGAGTTAGTATATTAGCAGTGGTTGAATCTGTGAGAGAGGATGAGATCAGCCCAAAAGAATGGTTAGAATGAGAGGCAAGAAGGCTGAGGAACCAGAGACCTAAAGAAAAGGAACCCCAAAAGGTAAAAGTATCACAGAGGTGGGAGATTGATTAGAAAATGCTATCACTGAGTCCAAGAAGAGTGGCATGGACAGCAGTACCAAATGCTTTCTCAGGGGATGTTTCCCAAATATTCATTTACTTCTATGGCCCTTTCTCAGTTTTCCTACAACTTATTTCCAATTGCCTAACGGGCAGCTCCAGGTAGGTTATTTTGTCCCCTCAAACTCAACATGAACAAAGCAGATCTTAATCTTGTTCTTATCCCATCCTTTAACCGTTTTCCTCCCTGTTAGTGCAACCTCCATTATTCCAGGCTCACAAACTACAAGCATTGGAGTCATCTTTGTCTCTTCTGTTTTGGCCCCAGTAGCTCTATTCTTGGTTACCATGAATTCTTTCTTTCATGCATCTCTAGATTCTCCTCCCAAGCCCCACCCATTTACTCACTTTTCCCATCATCACTACCCTCTACTTGAAAGTATTACTTACCTAGATCACACCAACAGCCGCCTTACTCTCTCCTTAGTCCCTGCCCCTTTTAATATTCCAATCATTTTCAATTTATCCTTCTTAAAGGATTTTTCCAGAGCCACCTTGCAAGCCATATAATTATTCTTTAAGGATGTACCTCATCACCCACCCACCCCCAACCAACATTTCCTCAGCCTGATCAGAAGATATTTTAAAAGGTAAAATCTACTCTTAAAAAGACAAATATTGTGTTACTTGGAACACACGTTTTGTTTTGAGCACTAGAGCACATGTTTAGTTTCTCAAGAATACTGCCTTAAAAAGGACAAAGCAGATGTAGCAATGTAGATTGTCATGTGTTTGTTTTTTCTAAATTTTTTTAAAATTTGAAATTTTATAGATGCACCTCAAATAATTGGTATCATGTGGCATGGCCCTTCCTTGTGGTCTGTTTGCATATGTCACCCTTGTCTGGGACTGAATCTGATTTTCTTTTGCATACTCATGGAATCCATGGATTCCTGCAATCAGCAATTCCCTAAAAGGCTAAACAGGCTATTGAAAAGAACTATGTTACCGTTAGGTTCCAAAGACAATTTAGAAATGAAAGCGAATCTGTTGACAGAAAGTGGCTCAGAAATCAGGCATTTTCTTTTTCTTTTACAGCCGAGCTGAAAGTATCAGTTCAGAAGACAGTTCGGAATTCTTTTTAGATGATGATATGGACTATGATCTGGTAACCAGATTATCTTTCTTGATTTAAAAATTGTGTTTGGTGCAAAGTATAAATGCTCATTTCTTCTTTTGAAATTAAAATGTCCTATTCCAAATATTCCACAACTTTCCAGAAGAAAATATGATTTTGATACTGTTCTCCAGTTATATACAGTTCATCTTTGTCATCAGACATTTAATGAAAAATAAATGTCAGGACTTCCCTGGTGGTCCAGTGGTTAAGACTCCGTGCTTCCACTGCAGGGGGCATGGGTTCCATCCCTGGTCGGGGAACTAAGATCCCGCATGCTACACGGTGTGGCCAAAAGATAAAAAAAAAAAAATTAAAAATAAATAAATAAAGGTCTATAAGAAGGTAACAATTTAGGAGATATACATTATCTACAGTCTTCCTATAAAAATAACCACCTTCTGACTGTTTATCATTTTATTGGGGCTTGAGGTATGCTGGGTAGCTGGACTGTGAGATAAACTGACCTTCAACAAAACAGCCCTGTATGGCTACAACCCTGACTTTGAGCTAATCCCACACTATATACAACCACAGAAACTCAAAACGAATGAAAAACACTTGAAATCACCATCCATGTATTATGTATAACATACCTTATCCAAGTCTTTTTTTCTTAATTGTAGAAAAAACACAATTTACCATCTTAACCATTTTTAAGTGTATGGTACTGTAGTGTTAGCTATAAGCACACTGATGTGTAACAGACCTCTAGAACTTTTTCACCTTGCAAAACTGAAACTATACACCAATTGAACAACTCCCCTATGCCCACTCCCTCTAGCAACCACGTTCTACTTTACATTTCTAAGAGTTTGATTACTTTATATACCTCGTAAAAGTGGAATCATGCAGTATTTGTCTTTCATGACTGGCTTATTTCGCTTAGTCTCATGTCCTCATGTCTTCCAGGTTTATCCATATTGTAGCAAATGACAGGATTTCCTTTTTTTTTAAGGCTGAATGGATATACCACATTTTCTTTACCCATCCATCCGTCTATGGACATTTAGGTTACTTCCACCTCTTGGCTATAGTAAATACGATGAACATGGGTGTGCAAATATTCAAGTCATCTTGCTAATAATTAAATTTACTTAAAGTAATATAAACTTATACTTAAAATTTTGGAAAATAGAAAATCATTAAAATGTGGGGAGAAAATGACCTCCACTTAGCCTCCTGTCTTTCTCGTTCTTCTGTTCCTCTCCCCTTACCTTTCTGTAGACCTGCCTTTTCCCTTTTTCCTGCCCTTGCCTCCTCCTCTGCTCCATCCCTTCTTCCTTCTCTTTTCCTCACCCTCTTCCTTTTCCCCTTCCCTAATAACCTTGATCTCCCCCCAACACCCAAAGTGCTCTCTTCCTGAAGGCCAGCTCTCATGTGGAAATAGGCTCCTTTGTCAATCTCTGCCCATGTCTCCCTCATAATCAGAACGGTATTCCTTTACCCCACTGTTTCTTCCCTAGATGTCACATGTACACAGGTAGCATGTTTTTAAGCGAATTATATTCTTCATTATTGATTGATTAGGAGCCAGAACTTTATTTCAAAGAACCCGAAGAGTTACTTCAGGTCCTCACAGAGCTGGAAGAGCAGAATCTTACTTTGGTACAATACTCCCAAGATGTAGATGAAAATCTGAAAGATGTAAATAAAAAAGAAAAACTTATACAGGATAAAATGTAAGTCATTAAAAACAAGTAGACTTATTCTATTAACCGATTTCTAACCAGAGATAAAGTCCAACTCATTTATGTATGGCCCTTCCTTGTGGTCTCTCTGGATTTAGGATGGGATTTTTGTTAATAATCGTTTACACTGAAGAGTGGAAAAGGTAGAAGTTATATTTACACAGAATAGACTGGCTTTAGTTTAATTTTAGTCCCTACTTTTCACTTGTCAAAATATTTTCCTAGCTAGCAATAATAAGAGACAATTTAAAAGATTAAAAAGAATTGAAATGTCACCTACTGCCTTAATTTTTGTTCAATACAGTTTTATGCTATCATCTGGCTAATCAATTCATGCTTTGGATAATGCTAATAAATGCCTTTTACTTGGCTGTGACTCTCAGCAAAAGTTTTTTTTGTGTGTGACTTAAATATATCATTTTATAATGTACATATTGATATATCAGGGCTACTATAAAGAAGGATTTCTGTTGGGAAGGAGGCTGGATTTGATGACTCACAAAATTCCTTTCTACTCTAAAATTTTATATGATTACAATTTTGGAAAATAGCTTCAAGTTGCAGAGAATAGACCTTTATATCTACTCATTCTAAAAATGTGTAGAACCTTTTTTGGGAAGAGTCTTCTGGATCAGAAGACAGCAATCATTTTAAATAGTTAAGTCAAACTACATTGAACTTTGGAACATATTAACTTGTTCATAAGTTAAGAACCTAAAACCATAATCTCATAATCACCCAGTAGACTACTGTATCCTTTTAATCCTTGTCTCCTCTCTCCCAGTCCTCAGTGTATGGGGCCCCCGCCCTGACAATATGATTTGAGGGGATGGGGTGGGTATGGTTGGGCAGGAAAAGGGGATCTATATCAGAATCTCTAAGTGAGTAGTCAGGAGTCTGTACTTTACCCAGTGGCTCCTCAGATATTCTGATTATCAGCCAGGTTTGAGAACGCTGACATACTAGGTCACACAGCTTGGGCTCCCGATACCTCAGCTCTGCTGCTTTCTATTTGGGGGACTCAGGGGAACCACAGAAGTGGGGGTGGGGTGAGAAAAATGCTTCCTGATGGAAGTTAAAAAGCATCTGTGCATTTATTTTTCTCACTTTAACCTGAAAAGTTGCATGTACTTTGTCAATGTCTTAAAATATAAACTTGTATTTGGCTTGCTAGACATAGGATGTTGACACATGATCTGGAGGGAGTGCTGAAGCTCCTGACTGATGGCTTATTTCACTAAACCACAAATTACAGACAAGGGTCTCTCTTCTTTTGCAATAGAAATACCAACATAGAGTTTCTTTTGGAACACAAGGAAATGCTTAAGGTTAACTGTGTAAGAGAAGAGGAAAAAGCAGCAGAACTGGAATTAAGGTCCCGGCTATTTAGTTTTGGAGAATGTAATTCAGATGCTCAGGTAATCATTCTTTGCCTGTAGTAATTTTATTTTGGCTCATGATATTAATAATCTGCATTCCCTGTGTATTAAGCATTGGAATAGGGGAATTAAAGCAAACCACAAGTCCCAGGTTGATGATGGAGCCCAGAAAGCAGCTTGGAAATAATTACCTTGTCAATATGTAATAGCTAATTTCACAGTAGATAGAAAGCATTTAAATTGGCATTGGAGTTCTCTTAAAATGTTACAAAGTATGATGCTGAGATTTCCCCGCCTATAAATACATTTCTTTTAGTCAGTATACATATTACCATACATATGAAGTATTTCACTACCTGTGATCATTTTGGTATTAATTTGAGGGGCAAATAATTAACAGAGGAATCACTGAATCAGCACTGAAAGGAATTATCTTCCCAACAGTGAGCTTGTAATAGATTGTGGCCTCTTTCGGGTCTGCATAGATCCACGTGTGCTTATCTGTTTGCGTGCTGGTTTCTCCCAGCTCCATGCAAACCCCAGGGTAGGGGTTGTCTTACCCTATCTAGTCAGCTAAGTTTAGTGTCCTCATAAAGTAAGTGCTCAATAAATGTTTGTTGAATGAATGATTAGGTTAGTTTTAAGACCCACAACAAACTCCAGCTAACATTGGTTTTCTTGTAAACATCTCAAATGAATAAAATTCAAAACTCATATGTGAGACTAATATCACAATTATAGTTATGAACTTGATTTTCAAACACAGGTAGATTTAAGGGGACTCTATCAGAAGATGACTATGCTCCCCTGCCCATAGGTGGGCAGGGTTATAAAAGACAAACCTGTTTATGGCTCCTTCACAGCCCACATTTCCTAGGGTGGCATAACACCCGGAGGTAGGAGGGGATAGGACTGTGCACTGCCAGAGCAGGAAGTGTGATGACAGCCACCTCTCAGTTCTTCAATGCTGGGGGTTTTTTTAAACCTTTTTTTAAATTGTGGTAAAATATACACAACATAAAATTTACAAGTTAACCATTTTAAGCGTACAATTCAGTGGCATTAAGTATATTTGCAATATTGCATAAGCATCACCATTATCTATTTACAGAATTTTTCATCATCCCAAACAGAAACTCTGTACCCATGAAATAATAATTCCCCATTCCCCCACCTTCCAGCTTGTGGTAACCTCTGTTCTACTTTCTGTCTCTATAAAGTTGCCTCATATATATGGAAGCATACAGTGTCTGGACTTCTGTTTATGGCTTATTTCACTTAGCATGTTTTCAAGGTTCATCCATGTTGTGGCATGCATCAGAATTTCATTCCTTGTTACAGCCAAATAATATTCTGCTGTATTTTTATACCACAGTTTGTCTATCCATTCATCTGTTGACAGACACTTGGGTTGTTTCCACCCTTCAATTCTGTTTTAAATAATTCTGAAACTGAGTAACATGAAAAATGTCAGGTAAATATCAGTGGTATCTCCCCGTGCCCTCCACCAAGCCCCTTTCATCCAAATTTAGGGTGGCTATGAAAAAAAGTGGCATTTCAATACTCAAACTTTGAAGCAACCAGAGCCCTAAATGGAGAAGATAGAATTGATCTGAAAATTACTTTTTTAAAGACTATGACATTTGGGTCACAAGTGTAATTTTGGCATCCGTGTATTATATACTCTGGGAAAATGGAGCTAATAATTCACAGTGTCTCCCAAAAATGTGAAATGTTGGGGCAGAGAAGCAGAGGCAGAGCAGGACAATTGGCAGGGGAAAGTATTCTTTTCTAAGAATTTTCCAGCTTCCCCACTCCCATTCTTTTCATATGTTGAAATGTGCAAAACATAATCCTTTATGAGTGAATAAGCATAGCTGTGTCTAATTTTAATATTCATAAATTATCATAGGTATTTTGGAGCTATGAGTATTTTATTCTTTCAAAATTTCCACACTCTTAACTGTACTTAATCCCCTAAAAACATTTTTCCTTGATTCAATATTTTACTTTTAAAATAAAATTTTAAACTCAACTATAATGTAATACTGAAAAGTGCACAGATCCTAAGTTTATCTCTCAAGGAATTTCCTCAAGGTGAACACACCATTACCACCCCCAGAAGCCTCCCGCATGCCCCGTTCCAGTCTCTGCCATACACCCAAGATGACCACTATCTTTACTTCTCTCACCATCGATTAGCTTTCATGTTTTTGAACTTTATATAAATGGAATCATGTAATATGTCTGGCTTGTCTGGTTTCTTCCTCTCAACATTATGTTTGTGAGATTCATACATGTTGTTTTGTGCAGTTGTTTATCGAACATGAAATGGAATGTAAGCTATTCCGTTGTTCAATTTGCAGAACGTCCTCATCTCTCGTTTTATCGTTCTTGGGCACAGGGAGCTAATCAAGTTCAATTGCAAAAGTTGTTTACAGTCAGCGCTCAGCAGAACATAACATGGATTAGAATTACAGAATCCTTGAGTTGGAAAGGACTTTAAAGGTCATCTAGACATCTACCCCCTCGCCTATCCAGTTTTGATACAACTATTTCTCCTAATCATTGCTCTGGTCAGATCACTTCCCATTCACTGCTGAAGGCATCCAGAGTTCGTATCCAGTATTCTGAGCCTTTCACGGTCCTGTCCCGATCCTGTCCCGCTACACAGCAGAAAGCAGCATCTCCTCCCACTTCTTGCAGCCTCTCTTGGCTACTCCTCCTCCGAGGTGCTCTGGGCTGGGCCCGCCATCTGGTGGCAGCTCCAGGGATGGGACTGATGCTTTACTTCTCTGTCATCTGTAGGTCTGTGCCTTGAGCTCCCTTTTTCCCTGTCCTTCTGCTCTGTTGGGCCAGGCCCTCAATCTCTTTTTCATACATGAGTATTTTCTTTAACCTCATTCCCCAATCCTACTTCTTACACTGTTCTTAACTTGTTATCTTAATAAAATATCTCTACTTGTCTTTTCCTCTCCTGTTTGACAGGCAGAACTTAAAAAGAAAACAAGACATGCTGAAAGGTCGCTGCCCATCCATCTCTAAAGCTCTTTCTAAGTGTTCAAGAGGTTTCCCCACAAAACTTCCATCAACTTACTAATCATTCTCATATTAAAGATGTTTTCTCAGAATATATATTTTTAATGACCCACATTACAGTAATTTTTTCCATATCCAAGTACAATATTTTAGCCCCTTGATGAGTTATACTTTTTTCCTTTTATATTTTTCTATACATCTAAAGTTTCTAAAAGGAATGTGTTAATATAAATAGGAATACAATAAATGTTATTTAGAAAGGGAAAGAAAAAAGCTTTATGGCAAATAGGACTTTTGCTTTTTTTTACTTTTTCCTTTAACATTATTTTGTATTTCTCCAAATTTCCTAGAAGAAGCATATTTTAAATATAAATAGGGAATACAGTAAGTGTTACTTTAGAAGAAAAACGGGGGACTTTATGGCAAACAGGACCATCAGAAAGCTTGTTAAACTAGGTGGGACAGACAAGCTGTTTGAAGTAAACTATTGGTAACAGATCTTGACTTGTAATTAAGTGTTGGTGGCTCTGTAATGAGTCTGTGGTTTCAGGAGGGGTCTCCCATGGCTCCTGGAGCTACATCTGTCTTGAGGATTATTTGTCCTTGGCTTTATGGTGATTCTCATCTTCCTGAGCAGAAGCAGGAATGAGGGCAGGATGCTACCTGGAGAACGATTTACTTTGCTCAGTTTATTGAGATCCTTTTATCTGCGAATGCCGGGTACACACTGGAGAGACAGAAAGTTTCCTTACGGTCCCGAAACATGTTACCTACAAGCTCGAGCATCTCTACCAACAGTTAAAACGGCACAGTGGCCAGGTACAGGGATCAGCAAGGTTTGGCCTAAGCCTCTGCTTAGACTGGAGTACTAGAATGGCTTCCCAGTGGAGAGAATGAAAAAACTCCTGAAAAGATTTTATAGGCCAGCTTAGGAATCTGTTTGCTTGTAACTTTTTTTTTCCTTAGAGAATGCATTCATTTAATCAGCAAACATTTATTAAGTGCACAGTTATGTGCAAGGTGCTGCTTTAGATATAAGTGTAAAAATAAGAAATAGCTCCTGCCTTCCAGGTGCTTACAGTCTAGGAGGGGAGATAAGGCATGTATGCAAATAACTATCATACAGGATTATAGTTTTAGCAAATTAGAATAGTAAGGGCAAAAAAGGGAGCTTACACACTGTGCTGCTAGGAAATGCGTTAGAGTGGGGAAAAAAAGGATTTAAAATGTTTATGTAGTGTCTACTTGAGTGAGAATGATACAGAAAACATTCAAGCAAAAAGACAATCTGTCCTATTAAGTTATTTTTATACCTAGACTGAAATATTTTTAAAGAAAATAATCCAAGGTGTTACTATAGTAATGATCTGACTATAAATTATAACATAAATTCAATGCTGCATTTTCTCACTGTTCTATGTTGTACTAAAGTTTTTCTTTTAAAAAAGGAAATACTTAGAAGAACATAAAAGCCTTTTTCATTATAATATAGTAAAAGGGAATTTTACGTTTATTGAATGAACAAGAAAATAGTAATGAAATTTTATGTTTTCTGCTCTCCTTTTCTTCTCAACCTCAGGAAAAACTGATAGACTCTCTTAGTAAAAAAATTAATCAAGTATACAAAGTCTGCATTGGAGATGCTGAGGTTGGCAGCCTCAACCCAGTTCAAAAGCTGGTAAAAGTAGAGTCTCGCCTGGTGGAACTGAGTGATCTCATTGAATCCATTCCCAAAGAAACCGTGGAGGCAATTGAGAGGATGAAACAGAAAGAACGACGGCAAAAGTACAGTCACTGTCTTAGGATATAAATGTAGTGAAAGACTTAATGAGAAGCTGTTTTTGCTTGGATTCCACACACATTAAGGAAGTCTATTATACAGCAAGTCTCTATTATACGCAATATAGAGACACAGTGGAATCAAACCCAGCCCTGCCCTCCTCATGGAGCTATTATTTAGTGTGGAGACACATAACATCCATATTCTTACGAAATAAACATCTCGTTATCAATGGTAAAACGAGCACTGTGAAGGAGAGAGTTCATCAGGGGCAAATGACATAGTTTCGGATGGGCAAGGGGTCCTTCTAGCCTGAAAAAGTGAATTTTCAGAGTGAATATTCACTACTTACATGAAAATTTTCAAAGGGCTATAATGTAGAAGGAGAACTATACTTGTGGTGAAGGGCCCAAGACTAGAATTAGGAGCCTTTCATTGGAAAACTACAGGGAGACTCAACCTATGAAGGAATTGTTTGAAAGTTAGAGCCATGTAATGAGGGTTTTCCTCAGTTCCTAACTGCCAACACTTACATACATCACATTTACTCATTAACTCATTTATTCCTCAAGATAATCTCATGAAGATTGCCATCCCTGGAACACATACCACCACCCTCACCTCCACCCCTGCCCAGCCCCCATGTCCCCACATCTTTGCCTAGCTTGGGGCCTTTCCCGGAGAATTCACTGATTTAGAAATTTCCATACCAAGTTAAATAAGGATTTTATGTACATGCTACCTTTGAGGCAATGATTATTATAAATATAATATGATCCCTAGTATAATGTAGCATATAGAGAATGCTTATAGGTGGAATAATGTTCTTGTTATAGCAAAAAAACATGTTGGCAGGCATACTAGAACTATGGCTATGAGCATGGGCATTAGAGCTGACCTGCCTGGGTTCAATCCAGGTTCTGCCATTTACAACTTTTGTGACCTTAGGCAGGCCACACAACCTCTCTTAAGTTTCAGTTTCCTTATCTGTAAAATGGCAGTAATAATGGAACTTATCTCACAGGGTTGTTGTGAGGATTAAATTAAATAATCTATGTAAAGCGCTAAAGCATGCTTGGCATATAGTAAGTACTCAAAGAGTAGCCATTAATATTAGATACTTTGTTACTGCTTACATTACTGGGGTGGGGGGGATATGGTTTCCTCCATATAAAAACAAAGTCCAGAATATATTAAGGTGATCCTGATGGGATTTTATTGAATATGAAGCAATTTTTTTAAGAAATCATAAATGAAAATCACTCCTTCCAGAAGATGACCTTTGACTAATTATACTAAGAGCATTTGCATCTTGTAATTACTACTATTTCCAGTAGTGATACATGAACCTAATTCCAATTACTTATCATTCTTATCAAAAGGAGAATTTTACTGGATTTTTCCCATGGTTTGGAGGCACCTAACATAACACCTAATTTTGCATAAAAAATGTTCAGTGAATGTTACATTGATAATTATATACATCCATACAAAAGCTATCACTTGTCCAGTGGTTATTCTGTACCAGGCATTGGACTAGACAGTTTGCATAAGTCAGCTCATTTAATTTTATCCTCATAACAACTCTGAAGAGAACAAAGACAAATACTATTTCTTGGCCTTAATTTGAGGATAACATTCAAAAAGATTTACTGGAAAGTATGTTTTTGTGGTTATCCATTGAACTATATACACTTGTGATCTGTGTACTTTTCTCCAAATTATACTTCAATAAAAAGGTTTAAAAAGAGGGGGAAATAGCTGGAAATTAATTCAAGTGGCTGCCATACGGATTAACTGCGAAGTACCGAACTGTAAATGGAGTGATGAGAAAGCTTTGCTGAGGTGCTTGTTTTAGACCAAGATTTGGATAGATTTTACTTCTTCCAAAATGGTGACATGCATTTTCTTCCCATTTCAACACAAACAGGATTTGTTGTTGAAATTTCACCTGAATATTCAAAACCCATAGATTTGGGTGAAGATGAAGTATTATTTTCATTTAACCTTAAAGGAAACTTTATAATATTTACATAATTCTTTACCAAATAGTAATGATGTAGGTCTTTTTTACTTTCTGTGATTTATAGTTAGAACAATGTCTTCCCCTCTTGACAGGTTGCGTGAAGAGAAAGTGAAAGAAAAACAAAAACACCAGGAGGAAAGGCTAAAAACTGCTCTGGAAAGAGCAGGAGCACAACCAAAGAAAAAGGTTTGTGTTTTGTTATTAATAGGTTCCACTACATCAATGTGTGAGGGCTTCTGTGGTGCAAAAACAAAATACCTAACTCATCTAATTTATCCAGGTTAAACTTCAGTAAGATTGCTAACAGCTTAAATTGATCTCTCTCTGGTTCCTTGCTACTTTTAGAATGATTCAAATTACTGGTTCTACAGTTCTCCATTAGACTAACTTTTTGGTAAAAGAAACCTCTCCCCTCTCCTCTTTTTCTTTAGCTCCAGGTGCCATGAAACTAGAGAATTAAATAAATAATAGTAAGTGAATTACATATTACTGGAAGGGTCTTTTAATCCTCACACTGTAAAAATAATGAGACTTATAGCTGAAGTTAAAATAATTTACCCAGAGTCACTTCAGATTTAGCAGCAGAATCTGACCAGAAGCCAAGGTTCTTCATATTTCAAGATTACCTGTTCAGTAAGTTTAGAATTGGGCAGTCACAGAGTGCACGTGGTCTATAACTCCCCCTAGGTGTGAAGAGCCTTTTGTTTCTATATGCCACTCTCCCTCCTCTGAGCTAGAGTCTGAAGTATGTTCCAGGAAGGCAATCTCATAGTTAACTGCAAAGCTAATAAGGACATTGATTCTCACCATAGTCACAGCTAACCTATAGTGAATGCTTCTGTGCCTCACAACCAGCCTTTGAGGTAAGTACTTAAAGTTCTGAAGTATGGTAACTGTTAATATGTACTATGTCAAAAAGTGATGATTAATTTTATTTAAATAAGCATTTCATCTTTAAAAGGGTCTGTACTTATCTAGTTCAACTCTGCTTCTCTTGAGAAGTTCAACTCTAACTTCTCTTCTTCTAAGAGAGAATTAACCATTCATCACCCTGCTACATGTATATACTATTATTTACTAAACTCACCAAATTAAAGTGATTATTTTTTAATATATCCACCTTTCCTTTTAGACCATGAATGAGTTTTATGACCTTTGTATCCCCAATGCCTGGCACATAGTGGACACTCAATAAATGCTTACTGAATTAACAGACTAAAAATGAGAATGAAAACTAAATCTGGAAGAAAATTGGAGAAAGAATGTTGATAAGTCAACAATGTATGAAGACCTCTGAAAGAAGATTTTACTCTTTCAGAGGACATTTAGGACATTTCATCGCTGGCAATTTTCCCAGACAGAAATTAATAACAAAGGTTATCAAAGGAGATCATCACCAGTGAGGGAAAAAATATGACATTAGGAAAGGAATTCAAGGATTCCAGTCGTCTAAGGATATTTTTGTTGTTAAAATGAGGGGAGGACTGCTAGTGCTATTTAGTTCTCTGGAGTCAGGAATGTCAAACATTCTGCAATGCAGGGGACAGTCACACACAGGGTTGGTGCCCCTTTTGAGGCACAATGGAAATGTCCCATCAAATTTCATGTCTAACAGAACAGTTTTCTTATACATTTAATTTATACAAATTCAGATATAAAGGCAAAACAAAAAATAAATAAATGAATAAGGAGAAGGGGGAGAAAAGACTCAAAGAGAAAGATTAGTATGATATACTTGAGTATATGCTCCAGAGAGAATAAATAGGTATGAACTGGGGTATTCCTAAGCCTCTCCTGGTGGGACCAAGAGCCAACAGGATTTCTCGTGCCTAAGAAAATAGTACATGGTTTTCTCAAGGTTTTGTTTAACAGGATTTTTTTTTTTTTTTTTTTGCGGTACGCGGGCCTCTCACCGCTGCGGCCTCTCCCGCCGGGGAGCACAGGCTCCGGACGCGCAGGCCAGCGGCCATGGCCCACGGCCCCAGCCGCTCCGCGGCACGCGGGACCCTCCCAGACCGGGGCACGAACCCGCGCTCCCCGCATCGGCAGGCGGACCCTCAACCACTGCGCCACCAGGGAAGCCCTAACAGGATTTTTAAATGCCAGTCAGCTGTTGCTTAGCAGAGGAAAGTGGTCTCTTTGAACCAATGGAGTAGAAATTAGCTATGGCAGTTACTGAGAAATGAAGTGTTGGCCTCAAACATGGAGTTTCTCTAAGCTTAGCATACCTGAAACACAAGCTATCTGATGACTTTATCTAAATCCTCCCACTTGCCCATAAAACCTAACTGCCCTGTCTTCTGCATACCATGGTGCTCCATTCGTTACTTAACTTTGCCTGCATTTGGACATCCATTAGGTTATCAATCCCTTGTAATTGAGATTATTATTTACTATTTTAAACTATATTATTCTTCAGAAAAATCAAGTTAATATTAGTATTTTAGTTACACTTCAATAGAAAATGGTTATATGAAAATATTAACTACTTTTTCTTTTGTTTCAGCTGGGAAGACAACTTATGTACCGCTCAAAACCTCCATCTGCTAACAAACATGAACTACTTTTAGTCAAGGATACAAGAACAAAATCACTGGAGGAAGAATATTTTTTCACTTGAATAGGAGCAGTAAGACATTTATAACCAGAATGCTTTAGGCATATTTTGCAGATTTTTGCTTTTCAGTAATGGCAATATTCTGCCCCACACACAGGCCTAACCAATTTCAGGAAGACAGGTCCTTACTCTAAAAGGCTCTTAGGATTGGAAATGGGAGTTATTTTCTTTTGTTGAAGACCTTTATTATCCACATCCTAACCATTATTCCATATAGCTAAACATTTATACTTTCTGTTGTCCCAGGTGGGGATACACATCCAAAGTGACCTTACTGATGTAACTGTATGGTGAATGACCATTTAAGTGCAATAATGGCATTCTGACAACCTAAGACTTTAAATAATCTTTTTTTTTTTTTCAACCAGTCCACAGGAAAGTTCATAGTGTCAATTTTATCCCTGTGGAGTATACATTTTAACAATGTGCAACTCTAAAATACTGATTTGAGGAGTTTAAAACTTAAATGAAAACTACTAGATTATGTTCTCATGAGAACATAATGAGACATAACCAACCATGAGACTGATTTTTAATTCACATTAAGGGGTTCTGTTCAGAAAACTTAATTCTCTTAAGTGAACAAACAATATGTCTTCAGCCTACATGTCAGTTCACAATTTCTGTTGTGTTCTATACTCAAAACCATCTTAATTTTCAGGTGACGTTTCAATTTTAGCTGTAATGTGCATATCATTTAGCTCACATTGATACAGAATTAACATGTAATTTATTGACTAGTAAGTAAAAGTCTATATTAACTCTAATAAAATATTTAACTTTATATGTGTCAAAAGTGGCTCAAAAATAACTCTAAAAGAAACAGTTGCTTTTAAAAGGTCTCAGTTAATATACAATTACAAGGGATAAAATTGACTTTCATAAACATTTATAGAGTATATAAATAAATTTCCCTTATAGAAAAAAAATACAGCATTGGGCTTACATGAAAACCAACTTGAATAAAGTTGGGTGGCTTTTAAAGCATTAGTTCTGTGAATAATTTTTCAACTGTTTCAACATTTGAGCTCTGCATGTAAATATCTGAATATGAATAGCTCACAGTCAAGTTGAAAAACAAACAAATCTTTATTGTCTACAAATATATATAAAAAAAATTCCCCCCGAAAGATGCTATTCTCTCATTTCCCCATCTTCTTCTTCTTCTTCAACACCCCTGATATAAAGGACATTATTACACCTGTAAACAGAAAAACAGTCCATTTTGTTGTTCCAACAAGAAACCATATAAGATCTGAATTACTACGTTTATTAGATTTTTTCATTACAAAAATATTAATGCTAAAATTACAATACATCATTTCTTTCTCTTTTAAAAAAAATTTTACCTTTGGTTTGTTAAAGAGCACATGACACTCATTTTTATACCATGCAGTTGTTATAAAATGGTATCTTTATGATCTTCCAAAGGGAATAATGACTAGAATTTGGAGATGTGAAGCTAGTTCTAGAAAATAAGTGTAATACGAATCCCTAATAGCAGCCAGACCCACCTAAAATTCAAAACCAAGCTCTTGCAACTAAAACCACTGAAAAAGGTACAGTTAAGAGCTAGAAAGTTTAATATCAACACTAGAAAAATCTTAAGAATGAACAACTCCCAAATATTTAAATCTGCTTTGACAAGTTTAACAATTTCAAGAATCTTGAAGTCTAGTTGTAGAATGTTATGTTAAAATTAATAGTGATTAAAAAAAAGTAATTCTGAGATTGGGGCACTAATAGTTTATTTAAACAGGTATTTTTACTGCTCACCAGTAACTCCTTATATAAACTACTGATGTTTTGTTACCTTATTAAAACTTCACCCAGATGTCCAGATAATGCTCCATCTATGTATTCTTCTGTGTTTGCAAGCTTTAAATAAAAAGAAAATATATTAGTATAATCACACAAGAGGAAAATAGTATTATACACCTAATATTGGTGAGAGAACTTATTAACAGAGAACTTTCGGTACCAATGACTCACATTTACCTACAATAATTAGAAGATTAGTTTTCTATTACTACTGTAGTACTTTTTGGTTTCATATAAACATTCAGTAAAGTTAACATTGATGGATGTAGAACTGATATATAATAAAGCTCGTTTCAACACAATTTTTTAAATCTCAATAATGTAATATTTCTTTCTATTAAACATTAAAACAACATGTCAAGGAAGACAGTCTCCAATTTATGAATAAGCTGTGAATAATTCAGGTCTAAAGAAACAGACGTTAACTTTTCTCAGAGTAATAGCATTATATCATATTGAGGAACCCAAAGGGTACAAAAGCTATGGCTAAAATACCAAATACTCTTATATTAGTCAACAACCAAACTAAAGAACTGAATAAGAATTTTTAAAAATTATGTGCTAATAAACAGGAAAAAAATAAGTTCTTAAGAGGAGGTTTAATTAAGAGTGACCTTTATAGTTACTTTAGAGAACTCTATTATTTCTAATTTTACATCAAAATGTTTAGCTTTCCTTTTACATAAAGATAATAAACTTTACTTATAATTTAAAAAAATTACAATCAGTGCTACTGGGACTCACAAAAGAAATGAACAAGATAGAAAGGAAACAGGGAAGTTTCCTTCATTAACTAGGCAAGTGGGCAAAGGGAAAGAAAAATAGGTCTTAGAGAGGATATAAGGTAAGGCATTTAAAACATGTTAATGAATTAATAATGCTACTGGATATTATTCCTTCTCCTATAGAGAACAAAAAATAACCTCTTATACTCAGGGGATATGGTTTTGTCTGAAATTGTTGCCAACAATTAGTTTTGTATGCAATAGCTCTCAGAAATAATGTATTAACATCAACTAATTTTTTTTTAAAGTGATTATTTCCGGCAGATGTTCACCACCAACATTTAAACTGGTTTCTAAATTATAATAATGCTCCAAAGGCCTTCTACCACACTTTAAAAAAATTGAACTATAGCTGATTTACAATACTGTGTTAGTTTCAGGTGCTCAGCAAAGTAATTCAGTTACCCCATTTTTCAGATTCTTTTCCATTATAGGTTATTATAAGATATTGAATATAGTTATAGTTTCCTGTTTTATACAGTGGGTCCTTGTTGTTTATCTATTTTATACACAGCAGTGTGTATCTGTTAATCCCAAGCTCCTAATTTATCTCTCCCCCACTCCTTCCCCTTTGGTAACCATAGGTTTGTTTTCTGTCTCTGAGTCTGTTTCTGTTTTATAAATAAGTTCATTTGTATCATTTTTTAGATTTCACATTTAAGTGATATCATATGATATTTGCCATTTTCTGTCTGACTTCCTTCACTTAGTATGATCATCTTTAGGTCCATCCATGTTGCTGCAAATGGCATTACTGCATTCTTTTTATGGCTGAGTAATATTCCATTGTGTGTGTGTGATACATATGTACCACATCTTCTTTATTCACTCATCTGTCAATGGACATTTAGGTTACTTCCATCCATGTCTTGGTTATTATAAACAGTACTGCTATGAACACTGGGGTGCATGTATCTTTTTGAATTAGTGTTTTCTCCAGATATATGCCCAGGAGTGGGACTGCTGGGTCATATGGTAACTCTATTTTTTGTTTGTTTGTTTGTTTTTGT